AAAGAGCTGTCGTTTCACAGCATGCTGAGGCCAACGATCGCCAATGCAAAACCGACCACACCGGGTGCAATGGCCGAGGCAGAGCCTTCGAGAGCGGTCACGATCTGTCCCCATTGATCCTCTCTGCAGAACACACGCCGAGAAACAAAAACAATCTCCAGGCAGAACAGAACACAGGAAGAAATAGAAGACGTAGGGCTTGAGAAAACTCACGTGAAAGGAGCCTTCTCTGCGTCGGCAAGTACATCAGGCGCAGTCATGCATATCAAGGCCGAGGCTTTGGTCTCTTTACTTTGCCCCTGGTTTTCTGTCTCTACGGCACTTTCCAAAACAGGCGTTGTTTTTGTGCAGGTGACGACACGGCAGTCTGCGGTAGCTTTCTCTGTAGGGTTGTACAGGGCCACGAAAGATACGTTCTCCTGATTTTTGTACAGACTATCTTCTCCCTTGTTAGGTGGAGGCAATCCATCAAAGTTGGTGTAGGCATCCTTCCACTTATCCACAACGGCCTTGCAGTCGACGGAAGCGGGATCGTCAATCGGAAGGTATGCGTATGTGCCGCTCTGGAACTGTGCTTTAGCCCCGGTTCTTGAAGCTTTTTGTTCTGTCGATTCCTAGAAACAGCAAGACAATTGGCAGGCGCTGAGATGATTTGCACGACCGGCAAGTTCCTATGGAGGGCAGTTAGAGGGGTAAAGAACTCACTGGAATCAAGTGCTTGCACACCGGCGTCCAAGCCCACTCTCCATCTGATGGTGGTTGATCAGTGACACTATCGGGCAACCTATTGTTTGTATTCGCTTCTGCTTGTACGAGTGCACTGAACCCAGCGGCCAGGCGAGCAGCATTGACCTCGGCGAGGCATTGGCCATCGGTTCCTGCGGGAAAACAACAAAATTACCCTGAGCTGTGAACACTTCTTTGCAAGATAAAAGTTTCATACTGAAACTCTCCAACGTCTTGTGATACGCCCAGTTCGTTTGTGGGGTTCTGGCGCGTTGGACACAAAGCGGTTTCGGCAGCGGAGAACATCGTCCAACCAACCAAGTGTGCATGAAACCGGAAACATACCAAAAGCTACTTTGTAGGTTGGCTGTGCTCCTGCATTGCCATTGGCGTTGCCCAGGACGAAGAGCGAGGCACTGACGACTGTGAGCAGATTGAGAGGCGCCATTGTCACCAAGTAGTCGTTGACTTAGCTGAGAAGGAGGCGTAGAAACAATCTACTAAATCATCAAATTATATGAACCATATTCAAATGGAAGATGACCAACGACGTTATCCTTATCTTCGGCGGCTTCGAGGCGGCCTGTGCCGCGGGTGCGGGTGAACGCATGGCGGGTAGGCCAGGTCATTGCTCCTTGGCTGCCCAGCGTCTCACAGTAACTCTATGGAGAAAATAATCTCTAAGGACCATTAATATCATTTTTTAGGGTGCAGAAGCACGTTAGAAAGGGTAAGAGGCCACCAAAGCCGGGGCAGTAACTGCAGAATCGCATGAATGCTTGTGTCTTGCACCCCAGTTACCGACGTCGAGTCGAGGGGTCAGCGCAGAAGAAACCCACGCCGATTTCTCACATTAAATTCATCGCTGCCGTATACTGAAAGTTACAAGGCTTCTAAAATCCTTGTCTTGTGCGCTGTCCGCTACGTTGCGGTGGCACGCCGGGCCGAAGCGGTGGTCCCGCGGAGCTTGGTTCTGTTTCATTGTGCAGTGACCGTTACACTCCATTAAAAGGATGATTTCTAGGATTAAGCAGGGATATACAGCTGAGTAATATTGATGGCTTCCCGTTTCGCACAAACCAGAACCCCGTAACAATCTGGTGGCTGCATA